CCCACCATCCCAAACATCTATACCCAACCATATGTTGTACAATATTAGAATTTCCTCGCTTTGGGGAATCAATTGACAGAAAGCAGTGACATGGGACTTACCCTTCCACACAGTGAGCTGCTGTCACTATCCATTCAGGGGTGATAATGGAGCCTCCACATACATGGGAGCCTTGGACTTGAAGGCTGATCTGCCACGGCCATTCCTTCAGTGCAGAAGCACTTCCACCCACAATTCTGCCACTGGGACTCACATTTTTACTGGACAGGCCACACTCTGAAAAATACACAAAAATGGGGTGTATGGAAGAGAGGCTGTGTGCAGCTCTTATAGTCTGAAAGTCTCAGGACAATGATAATTCAAAATTAAATTGGGATTTTCCCATTTTAAAAAGCCATCACCAATTAAAGAACAGGAACCCTGGAGGCTGAAGATTTTAAAAGAGGTTCATCAACACAAGTGCATCATGACCAGTGTTCCCTCTAACATTTTCTAGCCTTGGGCAGGTTGAAATTTTGGGCAACACTAATATTGAAATAGTGTCTAGATGTGCACCAATACAAACAAAAATACACACACACACACACACACACACACACACACAGTAAATTAGCGTATATAGCCTGCAGGTTATACACGTTTTTTCAAACCCTGTCCCCCCCCCCCCCCCCCAAGTTTATTTTTACCCATTAGAATTGGGTCAGCTCCATTGTGCTGCGGGGAGGGACTGACGAGCTTCCAGTGCACCTGCGCTGTGCTCTCCATTCCCCCACCCGCAGGAGGGTGGGTTGAGTCTCGCTGCGGCTGTACGGAGCCTGGGCGTGAGTGCGACTCCCCTCCCGCAGGCCGGCCAGTTCGCCTGCGCTGCACTTTCCATTCCCCCCGGTATGTGTAATCACTGTGCATTAGCCTACAGAACTCATGGGTTATACACATCCATGGGTAATCCAAGTGGGTTTTTTTTTTTTTTTTTTTTAACACAGCAAAGAAAACCGCAGGTTATACAAGAGTGCGGGTTATATATGCTAAAACACGGTGTATATATTAGAGAGAGAGAGATAATAAGGATGTTAAAATGGTTAACCATTTTAACTCAGAGCTTGTTGCCCAGTCCTACTGCAGCAGTGAGGTCCCACTGCCCAGCTGCCAGCCCCTCTGTGGTTGGGGTTGCTCCGGCCTGGTGAGGCTGGCTGTCACCAGAGTTCACAGGCAAGGGCTGGTTAACTGTTAAATGTACCAATATGTCTCATGCTTACCAGTTAACAAACCTAATATATAAAGCCCCAGAACAAATGAATACATGGCTTCAGGATTTGTAGACAGATGCACGTTTCAAAGAGCTTGCAAATAAGGTTTCATCTCACAAAACAACTAGCATCATACCTAGTACTTGCTACTTCTGTCTCATAAAAGCCAGAATTCTACCACATAGCAAATATCTGGCCTTAATGCAATACAATATACCATGTATTTATTAATAACACAGGATTTTTAAAAAAATTATTAAGATCAGAGTCTGCAACACTCCAAAAAAGTCTGTTAAAAGAATCTTTTTCTTTCTTACCATATGCCACTAATACCTAGGTAGACTTTATTTGAAATGTAATCATGCAAATGTCCTGGCACACACACCCCACACCCCATGGAGCCTGCTTTCCCCCACCAACCCAGCCAAAGAGGACTGCAGTGAGTCAGGGACATCCCAAACAAACTGCCCCCACCTTACTGCACCAACCTCCTTCCCCCACATCTACACCTGTGCTGTCTGCTCTCCCGGTCCAGCTAGGGGCTAGGATAAAATCCTGCTTCTCAAACTAGCAGGCACCAGCAGTCTGTCCTGTTCTAACTCCCAACTAAAGCACAAACAAATTATTCATAACTCCCCCTCACCCAATGTCAGCACCTACCCACCCTCTTTTTCCCCCATGGACCCCAATCAGTCAGACCCTTATCTCCCCCTTTCTAGGAGGCTTAAGTGCTGAGTTTCTGCCTCCCTCACCTCGCACATATGGTATCCTCCTAGGGTTACCAGATGGGTTTCAAAAAAATACCGGACACACGTGATCTCAGAATGGGGGGACGGACCACCTGGGAGGGGAACAGGGCTGGCCAGGAGAGGGTCGGTGGGAGCGGGGCTGACCGGGGAGTGGAGAGGAGACCGGCCAGTGGGAAGCGGGGCTGGCAGGGGCAGATCAGGGGGAACCAGCTGGCAGGAAGCAGGGCTGGTCGGGAGGGAGTCAGGGGACCAGGGCTGGCAGGAGAGATCGGGGGGGAACCAGCTGGCAGGGAGTAGGGCTGATCAGGACAGGGTCAAGAGGAGCAGGGTTGGCTGAGGGAGATCAGGGGAAGGAACCAGCTAGCGGGAAGCAAGGCTGGCTGGAAAAGGGTCGTGGGGAGTGGGGCTGGCTGGAGGGAACCGGCCTGCCGGGAGCAGGGCTGACCCGGGTGCACGCAGATCCCAGAATGCTGCCCATCCCACACATGGTCCCGGCAGGGCACACGGGCGAGTCCAGCCCCAGGGATTCCATCATGCCCCCACCCTCCTCCTCTCGACTGCATAGCTGCGTACTGTCTGACTGGCAGACACGCTCATGCTGCGTGAGCATGTCTACGAGCCAGGCAGTACGCAGCTACGTACAAATACTCCTGATAATAATAAAACTTATTTAATTAGAAAATACCAGACATTGATATGTCCGATATTTTCTCAATTTGTTTCCTGGACAGAAAGCTCAAAAACCGGACTGTCTGGTTCAAAACCAGACACCTGACAACCCTCGATCCTCCAAACTCCCCTCCCCTCTGACACCCATCTTAGCCAATCGCTCCCTCCCTCTTCCTCCTCCCCTAGCCACTTATTGTCTCCTTATCTCCCTTGTTACCTGCTCTGGGAGCTACTCAATTTCAAACGCGGAGTAGCTCCAGTTAGCTGCTTGCTTAGCAAGAGGACGCCCCATCCACCACCAGTTTAACTCCCTGCCTGTGCAGGAGCTTTGAACTTCTGAATGGAACTCAGAAAACAGCTGTGTGGTCAGGCAGCTTATGGAACTTAGGTCATCACATTCTGGATGGGTCTCAGAAACTGAATTTGAGGACCTTTGGCTCTGAAAGCATATGCCAGTGGGTCTCAGGGGTACATCAAGTAGGTATTTGCTAGTTTTACAATAGAAAACATAAAAAGTGCTAGTGAAGTGAATACATACTACAATTTCATACAGACAGTGACATATTTATACTGTTCTATGTATTGATACACTGAAATATAAGGGCACCCATTCCAATTGATTTATTTTATAATTATATGGTAAAAATGAGAAAGTAACCATTTTTTTGTGTATTTTGAGACTTCTGTATTTTTATATCTGATTTTGTAAGCAAGTAGATTTTAAGTGAACTGAAACTTGGGGGGTAAGCAAGACAAAAGAGACTCCTGAAAGGAATACAAGTACAGGCAGTCCCCGGGTTACGTGGATCCGACTTATGTCGGATCCGTACTTACGAAGGGGGCTTTTCACGCCCCGGAGGACGTAGGCGGCAGGACCGCCCAGACGCACCGCGGTCCTGCCGCCCACGTCCTCCAGGGCAAGAAAAGCTGCTCCGCGTCTCCCTGGTCTGCTGAGGAGGAGGGGGGGCCCAGCAGACCAGGCAGATGCGGAGCAAAGCCGCGGAGGACGCGGGCTTCGGGACCACCCAGACGCGCCGCGGTCCCACCGCCCGGGTCCTCCATAGCTTTGCTCCGCGTCTCCCTGGTCTGCTGGGGGGGCGCAGCTAGTGCGCTCCCCCCCCCCCCCCCACAGCCTGGGACAGAGCAGCTGGGGTGCTAGCTGGTTGGTCCCGCAGCACCACTCCTCAATGGGTGACTAAAGAGAGGGGGCAGGAAGGTTTCTGATCCTGTTGACCCTCTCCGTGCCGACTTCTCAGACAATATATTTATATTTTAACTGGAGCCTTTAGATTGGGGCTAAAGGAGGGTCAGATAAAAGGATTAAAGGGACTCACGCTCGTGAAGTGCATCACAGAAAGACACGAACAAAACCCACAAGCCTGTAAATATTCATTATGAAAAACACTTGTCTGTTCTCTCTCTGCTCCTTTGATTCCCCCCCCCCTTTTTTTTCATTTCTGGCCTGCAACAAGCAATTGAAAGGGCTGCAGGCTTGATATCTTTCCCTTTCTGGTTGAGCTGCGGCAGTAATCAGATGTGAAAGCCTCAGATATTTTCATAAATCTGTTTTCCTGTTGCAAATCTCTTCTAATAATCACCCTTGCTCTGCTGATTATGGGTGGCTGGTATGCAGCAAATATTAGAAATCTACGCTGTGATGGTTAGTTGCATGAGTCACATGCTGTTTCAGGTCTCTGCTGACCAGGGTTCCCTCTAATTTTTTCCATACATGTGCAAAATAAAATTTGTATGAGCATCGAGGCATGTGCGTATGTGCACCACCAATAGAAACACATGCTGCCAACTGCTGCCAGCTGTGGGCATTTTGCTAATCAGCTGGCTGGCATTCAAATCTCTCCTTCCTCTGTGCACTGGATGGCAGAGTTGGACCAAGGTTAAGAGCCACTGGCATAAGCTTCTGCTGCCTAAGCTTCTGTGTCATTGCCAGTAGCAGAATCTTAACCTGCCTTACATGGTTCACCCACTAGAGGGGGACGTAAACTCACACTAGTATCTACATAGACAACATACATACATCCTTTCTACTCTTGGTGAGTTATTCAGTAGCTTTGTAAATTGTTTGTCAGGGTGTCTAAATTAGTCAGAATCAGCACTCTCACAAATGCATGAGTTCCAGATTCTATACTAAAGGCCCAGTTCTTGCTTACACTGCTCTTGCAGTGAGAACTATTGTAGATAGCCTTTGGATGGGAAATGAAAGAGTGGTTCCTTTTAATCATCAGCATTTCAGGTGTAAGACAAGCAAACCCCCCTCCTTTTCCGCCCCCTCAGTACGTGGTCCCCAAATTTAATCCTTAAAAAAAATCTTACTAATGAAGTGATAGAAAGGAGTGGCCATGTTACTTCTTCAACAAAATGTTGTGGGATTAGTTTAATTTTTCATTCCACTTTTCTTTCCATCACACTCAGGGATGTAGTCTAGACACAGCATTTTTGGGAAAAAAAGCAGGAGTTTAGACAGAGCATTTTCAACAGAAATGCCCTGTTTTGAAAGGTCCTGTACTCTGTCGAAAATGCCCCGTCTAAACTGCCTATATTTTTTTTTCAAAAAAGCCCTGGTTTTGGGAGAAAAAAAAAAAAAAAAAAAAACAAATGAAGCATGGGAAATTCAAATCCTGGCTTCGTTTGCAATATTGACATGCCTAATTTACATCCCTTTACTGAAAAGGGGATGTAGTCTAGAGGTAGCCTTAGAGAAGGCAGATGCATGATTGTTTGTAATTGACTGACAGGAGAATGACAATTGGGGTGAGCGGAGAACAGAGTTGTATAACTGTATGAATCTGTACCACACCGTCACACATGCTAGCATTCTTGTACTATCCCCCAGACAAGGGAGAAAGAAAAGGTCGTCACAGATATAGGCTGAAAGGCCAGACAACATCGTATTCTGATAATTCTGGATTGTATCCGCCATTGTAGGGATAAATATAAGGACTTAGGACCAGAAAGGATCTTCTGGGTCATCGTGTTCAGCCCCCCTCTATTGAAGATAAACATTGTCATAATAAGTCTTCTATATATTGTAAGTATGTGAATTATCATTACTACAGATACAATGATCTTCCCCCTAAGTGCTTGCCAGGAAGGCAGACTGTCCTTGCAAAACCATATAATTAAATGCCCCTTATCTATTTAGAACAAGGTATCTTACCATCAAGCGGGGGAAACTACACATATGCATAAGCAGAACTGAAAACGTTTCTGCCTCCGCCCCCCCGACACACAGAAAATAAAAATTACTATGAATGATGAGAGCATCCACATATAGGAGTTAACGAGAAGGAACATTTCACAGTCAGGATTCATGAAAAAAAATGCTACGGGCACGTCATTCCTTAATTGCCCTTTATGATGGGCTTCTTGGACTTGCCTCTAAAACATTAGATACTTGGCACTGTCAAACATGAATCTGGAGTAAATGACTTATTGATCTGATTTTTACAGGGCAATTTCTATATACATGTAATCTTGAGCAGATTATTCAAAGGATCTGATCAAAGTTGGCAACAATACTTTAGACAAAGAACATTTAGGATCCACCAGCAAGCATGTCTCCACTAACTCTCCCTCAATCTGCTAGTCCCTCTCATCCCCGATTCTGCATGTAAACTACAATCACAATACATAGCTCATCAGAATAAGATGTGCTTCAGCACACAATCCTTGCACATCTTGACTTCTAGGCAGTCACTGGAAGCAGACAAATTTAAAAGTTACATTCTTCTAAAGAAATAGAAAACACTTACTTACGCAACGCAGAGATACCACCGCTCCCGATACACAAGAGGCACTAAAATAAATCAGCACACAGTTAGCCTTTACTAGAACATATAAAAACTCTGCTTAGAGAATAGTAGTCAGACGATTCTCTAGCCGCAGATCACATTGCACCCTCTATCCAGCCTCATTTGTCTCCTTCAGTTTCAGAAATCTCCAAGGTATTAATCCTTCCCCCACTCACTGCCCTGCCAGTGCCCACCCAGCCTTCACTTCTGTCTCCTCCATTCACCATGAGAGCATTAGTGGGAAGCATGCAGCTCTGACAGTAACACAGACTTTGAGACACATCGGCTGAGTCTACACTGCCACCTTTCAGCCCTACAACTTTAGCTGTTCAGAGGTTTGAAAAACTCACTCTGAACTCTAAGTCTTTGCACTGAAAAGCACCAGTCTAGATCTCCCAGCAATAAAGCATAACTGCCTACGTTACAATCAGTACAGTGAAGAGTGAAGTGAAGAGCAGAGAAAGAGAGGCGTGAGCACATTAGTCTCTATCCCTCCAGATGGAGGGTGCAGTCCTCAACTCTTCATCTTTACTACATAATTTAGAAATGTGCAGCTATCTGTCTGTCCATCTGTGAGCATGTTTGTCCAAGACCTCCTAAATGGTAAGAGCTAGGACCTCCAACTTCAGTGTATGGCTTCCTCTTATGATAACTTAAAACAAGGTTTTAAGGTGCCAGGACATTGGGATGTGCCTAAAGTTAGATTCCCCCCCCCTAGTTCGAACTAGGGTGGTAGTGTAGACATACCCATACAGAGGCAGCAAGAGGTGGGGGGGGGGAAAGCGAGTAGTCAACTCAACTAACCGATAAGCCTAGGCTTATCAGATAGTCAACTACTCACTTACGTTCCTAGTAGGTGGGAGTTATACCGCATGATGACCATGGGTGGGGAGAGGGCAGCAAGGGGCCAGAGATGGGGACCAGGACAGGTGTAACCCCACTGGGCCAGCAGAGTACAGGGGTGGAGAAAGGGACAGCTATCTACTATGTATTTCAGAGTTTGTGTCTCTGTGTCTGTCTCTCCCCCCAGTTGGGATACATGCAACCCTCCTTCAGTTATGCCCACTGCAATCGCAGCAGCCATGGACAGGTGTTTCTCCCCTTGGCTCAAGACGTTGCAGTAGTCTTCTCTCTCTCCCTGGGGCAGCCTGCGTACTGAACGCTCAGGCCCATCTCAACCCCAAAACGATGATTTAAATGAAGAAAACTTATTTGAGTTAAGGACCCAAGCAATGCTGGATAAATCTTCTAGTACAGCAATATTTTATAAAATAAAAAGGGGGAGGGAACTGAAGAATTTTCTAAGCACAGCTATCAACACACCAGAGAACTGAAATAAGAGCATTTAGTAAAATACTTTAATTTAGGATCTATTATTCTAGTGTCTTTTTAACTCTGCTCCCTGAATATTCATACAATTCTAAACAAATAATACAAAAATAATCCTGAGAGTAATTTAATACTTTATGGCTAACGTCATCAGTTTTCCCCAGAACAGTCTTTTGGATGGTGTGCAAGAATTAGGATGGAACACAAGAGGAGGGGGAAAAAAAAATCAGTATCCTCAAGAAATTAAGCTTCAGTAAACGGGAATTAGAAAAATAAGTTTTAAAGAGACATTGCCAGGAATTATTTAAAAGTTGTGGATTTAATATAATGAACAGTAGTTATTGTGATCAGCCACAAGAACTTCTCTTCCCCCATGTTAAAAAATAAAGTAGAACAGGGTGAATAATGGATTTAATTCAATTCACTGGCACGTGTGAAAGAGTCCAAACATTGTTTGATGTCAAATTAAATGTTTTATTTGACCTGAAACAAATGGTTGCATAAATTTTAATAATTTAATATAATTTTTAAAAAGAAAATTGACTCAGTCATTTCAAAACATCCCATCTTAAAAAAAAAATAATAATCCCCACACACCACCACATCCATACAAATGTTTGATTGTTTTTTTATAGAGGGGAAAAAAAAACAAAGAAAAAAAAAGCAATACAATTTGGCAAAAGTTTACATGAATTGGTGAAATCTCATTGTCACCAAACGTGCATATTTTGCCAAAAAAATAATAATGCAAAACATTTTGACTAGCTCTAATAATTCCCAGAGGTGTTTGCATTACAGTGATGAAGGAAGCTGCCTTGTTTCCAATTGTTAAAAGTAAATAAAAATAAAAAATGCTTATATGAAATACAAGTACCTTTTATACAGTTTTTTGTACAGGTCTATGTTCCCAGCACTTGTATTCAACTTCATAAAGTTTGTAGAAACTCTTTCAGCTATTCTTTGACTATAGTAATAAGAATTTCTGTACAAAACAAAAGATTTAATAAGAAACTCAGATATTTCAAATCCTATCAGAAAGTTCTGCTAGTAATGCGAAACTATCCACTAAAATGTAAAGCTTACAACATGAACGACAATATTATGGAATATTACATCATAAAAACCCCAAGGATAATGTACCATGGCAGAACTAAATTTTAATTTCTAAGTAAATATCTTCTATGTCCACTTTTACAGTTCAATAAGACCTTGCTTTCATCTAACTTTTTCATGGTGAAAATTTCCAAGTTCTGACCACACTAACCCATCACTCCAATCACCTCCTGGATAGAAATGCAGCCACACCAGCCCATCTGCATTTGAGAGTCTTTCCCTTCCCCCATCTATCACTCCCAGCAGCAGCAACATAGGTAAATTGCAGCCTATTTCAAGTAGAAAAAAACAAGTTACTGTGCTTGGAATTTGTCCAGAAATTGCAGTTAAATGTCAACGCACTTGTGAAAGAGCATAATAAATCCTTTAGTGTCCTCCTAAGTCCGGGTTGTCTATGTAACATGGGTCACAACGAATAGGTTTCTATAAAGTTTTATGTTCAGTTAGTATGTTCAGTCCAAGAAAATCTTAAGCAAGCAGGGCTGTGGGGGCGGGGGAGAAATGAAAAGACAGTTGCTATGGGGCACAGCCATTTAAAAGGGCACCGAGATCCAGGCCCTTTAAACTGCTGCCAGAGCCCCACATGGCATGGCCCGAGTAGAGCTGGAGTCAGCTGGGGGAGGCACGACATGGTCCAAGTGGTATTGAGGGGGGCTGCCCCTTCTGACTAAGTGTCCACCACTTCTGGGGGCCAGGAGCCAAACCCGCTCTCTCCCCCAGTGAAGTCTGTCACCGGCACTGTAAGCGAGCACTATGTGCGTGCATGTATTGCTGCACAAAGACAACTAACAACTATTGTTTCTTCAAAAACATGTAGTGCGTATGCCATCTACATCACTGATTCAGCAACACCTAGTGATTTTCGTTTTAACTGGGACTGTTTTCTATTCATGAAAATTAAACTAGCAACAGAAAAACGCAGTAACTGATTCTTTGAAAAATTTAATAAAATGGTTGTGTTGACTGTACACCTTTCATGATTAGATTATTATACTTACTCATTGTATCCCATATCTTTACAAGCTATCTTTCCATGGTCATCATTCCAGTCGTCATAGCATACTGGATGCCAGGATTTGCTGACAGATGAATAGACCTCCAAGATAAAATTTGGTCCATAGAGTCTAACTGCAATCAAGACAGAAAACATTGCTGACCATCTTGTTCCAAGCCTACAATTTTCATATTCCTAAAATGTATTTTACACCTATTACTTTTGCGAGCAAGCTCCAAAAGCAGTAGAACTGCAAGATTAAAAAAAATAAAAAGATAGAAGGACATTGTTTCAGTTTAGTTCTTCATTTGATGTCACTTTTTCGATCACTAGTTTCAGAGATTCCTTTTACATTCATTTTTTATGAAATATAAATCAAAAAAGCAATTGTTGCTTCCACAAAAATTGTCAGGGGCCCTAGAGACAGATGTAGCACCTGAAATTACCTTTTGCTTTTAAAGAAAAAAATTCCAGATGATGCTATAATTTGACACTCATTATGAAGTTTTCATTTACTAAATTTTTACATGTCAGTTTAATTCCCTTTTCTAAAGCCATCTGAGTGAGTTATTACCTTAAGTTGTATTTACATTTTAAAGTTCATTTTATGAACATTTTAAAAT